TATCACCGATTGTTACGTCATTAAGCTTACGGTAGTCGATTACTACTCTCCATTTTTGGATATTAGAAGCGTCAAGCTTTTTAGGGACCACCCATATTGGCGATGACCAGGGGGAATCAGAGGGTTCTATAATTTCCTGTTCCAGCATTTTATCCATTTGTCTACGGACTTCGGCTTTATGTATTTCGGGGAATCTGTAAGATTTAGTGTGTATTGGTATGTCCGTTGTAGTTTTAATTTCATGTTTTAGGGCATTAGTATGGGTAAGATTTTCTCCTGGAAGATGGAATATGTCAGAGAAGTCGGAACATAATTGCAGAAGAGCGGTTTTTTCTTCTTCGTTTAAATGTGATACGCGTAGCTGTTTTAATACTTCTGCTGTACGCTCGACGCTATTGGTTGAAACTCGTATATGGTCTATTGAACTAGCTGGTTGTTCCTTGAATTCTGAAGGTGCAATACGATTAAGTTTTAGGTTTAGGTTCGAATTTAATGTGATGGGTTTATCGGAAGTGTTAGCGACGGATATGTTAATTCGATTGTTTTCTTTTACGCGTACTATGCAATTGGCGATCAATAAAGTCTCTGAAAACTTCTGATCGAGGATTACCCCTACTTTTATCTCAGGATTAGACACAGAACACTCAATAATGGTTTCGGTTCTAGCAGGAATTAAGTAAGCGGGATCATGAAAGTGTAATTTTAAGGATGAATTACCCAGATGGAGCAGATTATTATTATAATTAATGTTGCAGTTATGCATATTCAGCATATCGGAGCCGATAATTCCATCATAAGGTAAATGTATTACGTCAATGACGTGGAAGGGATGTGATATTGTGGATTTAGAAAGCTGTAATTTTAGTCGGAAGTGGCCTCGAGTATTGATGGGTTCTTCTTTCGAGTCAATGCCTTTTAATTGAATCGTTTCTTTGATAAGTCTAGGGTGCTTTTCTATGCATGAATGTTTTATCAAACTTACAGATGACCCTGAGTCTACTAACAAGGATAGCGGGATGTCTGATACGGAGGAATTAACTAGAACGTGTGGTAATAATGTTTTTGCAGGGTTATTTGTAATTTCAAAAATATTTGATTTAGAAGGTTTTGGCGGTTTACCTTGTTTTTGTATCGATACAGTGGAATTAGGCAGACCAACATGATGTTGCTGCACGGATACAGTGGATTTTGGCAGATCAACATGACGTTGTTGCGCGGATACAGTGGATTTTGTCAGATCAACATGACGTTGCTGCGCGGATACAGAGGATTTTGGCAGATCAACATGATGTTGCTGCACGGATACAGAGGATTTTGGCAGATCAACATGACGTTGCTGCGCGGATACAGAGGATTTTGGCAGATCAACATGATGTTGCTGCACGGATACAGAGGATTTTGGCAGATCAACATGATGTTGCTGCACGGATACAGAGGATTTTGGCAGATCAACATGATGTTGCTGCACGGATACAGAGGATTTTGGCAGATCAACATGACGTTGCTGCGCGGATACAGAGGATTTTGGCAGATCAACATGATGTTGCTGCACGGATACAGAGGATTTTGGCAGATCAACATGATGTTGCTGCACGGATACAGAGGATTTTGGCAGATCAACATGATGTTGCTGCACGGATACAGTGGATTTTGGACTTGTGATACCGTTTTTTGAATTATGACGTCCCGCACGGCACCGGGACGAGACGATTACTCGTTTTTTGGATCGGCATCAACGGTATCATAACCCTCTGTGGGGTTAGCCGAATATCCATCGTTATTGTCTGAGGATTCGTCGGAAATGAAGTTGACGCGTTGTAGCGTTCTTTGCTGATTCGGGTCGAAATTCTTGAAACGGTTGTTGTTGAACTCCCTTTTCCGACATTGCTCTAAGGTATGACCTGGCGTTTTACAGTACCTACAGAATTGAGTAGAAGAATTGTTGTAGTTATTATTAGATCTGTTAGGGTTATTAAAGTTAGGTTTTACGTTGTACTGGTTTGAGGTCGAGGGTTGTTGATTTTGGTTACGACGAATAAATTGAGTGTTTAACGAATTCGGACCTTGTCTGGATAGGGACTGTTGTATTTTTTCTTCTGAAATGGCCATATTTATGGCTTCATTTAGAGTTTTTATTGGTTTACCCCTGACAATGTTAAAGATACGGGGTGTCAATCCCATTTGGAAATGATGGAGGGCTAATTCCTCCATGGCTGCCGTGCGTCCTATCATCTCTCGACCTTTATGACCGTGTGAGATAGATATTTCGGTTAACAGATGAGACAGGCATGTCTCGATCCTTAGAGCATATTGACTTACATTTTCATTTATTTGTTGTTTACACTCCTGTAAATCTGTTAAAAGATGGGCATAGTGCTTTCTTTCACTGAATTGTGTTTTTAGAAATTCTTTCAGTTGTTGCCAATTTGAAAATTCTTTGATGGAGCATGCGGTTTCCGCCTTGCCCTGTAGTTGGCATAGAATGTATTTAAAGAGTATGTCTTTTTGTGATTCTGATGCTAGTTCATAGGCGTTATTGCAGTTTACTAAGAAGGAATTTAGTTTTTCTCTGCAGCCATCGTATGGCTTTATGAATTTTAATAACGTGGAAAGCTCAATTTCTAATTTAGATGTTACAGTTTTAATTTTTTTTGATTGTGATCTAGTAGAAGGTCCTTGAGGGGGAGGGCAGAGGCCTTGGCCTTCCTCTTCGGTATCAGTAATGTTAATTTCCAATTTTGGACTTTGGGATCTCTCAGTCATCTTAACAATTACAAATACACAATAAGGTTGAAATAACAATAATTTGAACAATATACGTATGTGACGGAATACGTTACAGAATAGAGTAATGATATTTAAAAATCTCAAATATAATGTATTAGTTTTAAATAAGATGTTAGCAATGACCAAGTGTATGGTTTCACTTACTGGAATGCGGACAGCGCGATAAGAATAACGGACATGGTTTCTTGGAAGATTCACAGGCGAAGCGTAGGCGTTGATAAGCCGAAGGTCGTCGCGTCGTTGGAGATATTACACCGGTCACAGCACTAACTTGGCGTGACAATGGGTGTAATCCTTCTGGTTCTGGACAAAGACCGGCTGCAGCACGGGTGGTGCACAGCAATGGGCCTTTCACAAGCTTTATCACGAACACTGACGTCCAGGAGTCGGGCTCGAACTCGGTGCACTGACACTTTGTACACTATGGAGTCGGCAATTACACTCAAATACACTCGCGCCGAATTTGAACTTTTTAAGAGACGTACCGGGGACTCTTTTCGAATCCCTTAACGCTGCCACCAAATATGTTACGAGTCTCGGGGAACTTGTCTTTTTAAAAAGAAATAAAATACTAAATAGGGTTAAGACAACCGTCTGGCTTGGATATCGGGATGAGACTGGTCATGAGTGGACGGGTCGTTCGGCTACTGATGGAGAAATGCTGAGTGTGCAGAGTAGAAGTGTGGGGTGTGCAGGAATGCTTACATAAGGCATCTCTAACAGCACGTTATACGCTTTGAGCGGATGGGAGCGAGACTGAAAAATGTGTAATTTCATATACACTGTGGCGGTATAGATATCACAAAAAATGAAATAACAGATAACACGGTTCAATATACGTCGGTTAAAATAAAAAAATAAAAAATTAGTATGAAAATACAGAAATGCAAATTTAGAACAAACTAAATACAATAAAATAATTTCCGAATTAGAACACCATTGATAACATGAGTCGGTGAACTGTACCTACACGGCAGCGTCGCAATGTCGGCGACATCAAAACGACGCCGCCGCCGGCGAACTTTACATTCTTATTACCTACCTACCAATCACTTCACTTGCTTTTAAAAATCTATTTATAAAGAATGCGATTTTATTCACGTGTTTATTTCGTGAATGCTCGACTAGCTTCCGACCCAGCAGTACGCGTCACTCCTTGAAAAAGTAGTTACCTTGGTTGTCTCGTAATCTTTGTACCGCCCTTACAAAAATTCGGCAGTCTGTAGGACATACACGATTGACTCCATACGTGTCCGTAAAGCAAAAGATGCGTTTTGATAGAGTTTTCCATAAATTAACATCATAGCAGGATATTCCGCGGCTGTGAAGGTCACTCACGGCATTATGGATGTTGATATCGATAACCCAATAAAATTAAAAGACTGATAATGCACTCAGTTTCACACTACACTACACACAGAACCTAATAGTGACTTTTCAAAATAAAATTAGCAGGACTCCTTACATTACGAAGTCTTGCGCACACGATAACATTAATTGTTCACACCATTGCCGTGTATTATGACGAAAGCAATAAGACTAAACAATTATTACCACAAGAAAACTTCTCTAAACAAATATGTATCTCATAAACAACAACAATATTATTATTACGGTTATTTGTCGTGAGCGCATCTACAAGGATACGGAATAGCATAAGCTCGCCGGTGGCCAAGGGCCGACTGACTGTCCTTACTGGATGAACTAATTAAAAACGCGTGTTGCATCGTGATGACGTAATAATCAACATATTTCGTTCGATTCGGGTGTAGTAAAAGCGGCAACGTGTGATTACCGCGCCGCTGATCTATACCTACAGCTGATCGCCGCCTGAGGTCAATGTATTATGACTGCATGTACACATGATGTTGCAATTTACGAAACACAAAAATGAGTCCTGTGGCTAAACTACTGGATATATTTTGTTCATATTTTGCAAATCGCCTAGAAATTAAGGGTAGAATATGTGGCTTAAGTATATGTGAAAGGAAATGAAACTCTCTGTATACATATAGCAAACGTCTGCCAAAAAGTGAAAGGAACATCGTTCCGACCGGGGCTACACAGGCCCATCACGCCGCCACCATACTACAAATTAATCTAATATTTTCCCCACATTTGTATTGTAGTATTGGTGAAGATTATAAACTAATTGGCAATGTCTATATAGTAAAGGTGACACATAAAATTGATTTAAATCATTTGTTTTCTAGGTAAACCGCGCCCCCTGCCTCCGAAGACGTACATACCGTGCGCACGGTCGTATTAACCCTTACATGTCGTCGCCCTGCCACATCGAGGTGTGTCTGAGTGAGCGCGAGGATGCTGTAGCACGCGCAGCGCCCGCTGACGACGCGCCTGCCAAGAAGAAGTTGTCCAAAAAGAAGCTTGCTCGCCAGAAGGAAAAGATGATGAGGGAATAGACGTTTAAGGGTTAATAAATGACTTATAATACTTTTTTGGTTTTATTAAAGATCACTGGCTGTTGTTGATTTCTAGTCTAACTAGAGCTTGAACTGTTTGTGGTATGTCTACCAATGAGGGCTTACTGGTTTAATATTTTCATAGTTTTACATATTGTATGTTTATGGTTTTAAATTGAACGTTAATGAAATATTTAGAGAAGACATTGGATAATGATTAAGACGAGATCCAAATAAGACGTCATACAATTTTTTTTTGGGCCATTTGTGATTACAAATCTTTGTTAACACTTTTCACAGATGAAAGCATGACATCCGAAGAGGTTTTGATTGATAAGGGCCTAGCTGGCATTGCCACAAATTAGCAAAAAATCGTTACCTGTAGGTACCAAGAACCTGCTTTGTGGTATTCCTCTCCCCTATACACCCAAAACAGACAAGCGAGCCTTTTCATCAACAGATTAAATTGCTGATTTTAAGTGACTGCAGTTTGTAGTCAATAAATTAACCGCTCGAAGTGCTTATAAAATTGCGTCAAATTATACGGTCTCAAAACTGACTTAGAATTTATCGTTTTTCCGAGACCCGCTGACTGTAACACTCAGTGTTCACTTAGATGGATGTTGGTGACCTGTTGCAAAATAGTCATAGCAGCGGTAATGTGGGTGATATGAATCAAACCACAAAAAACACCCTATTTCTCTATAGTCTATGTTAATTGCTATAATTTCCAAGATATCACCAATCTGTTAATATCTTCTGTAAAATGGTGTTTGTTCTCGGATTTCTATTCACTCGCAGATTGCTTTGACGTACACACAAAATTTCATTTATTATTTGATATCGTCATCTTCGCGCTTTCCTGCAATCCTTGGGAGTGATTCCGTGTAAGGCTCTTTTTCTTTTCTCTACATATTTGTAAGCGATACATTGAAAATATGTAAGTGGTCTTGTGTTAGCTTGTACATTCTGGATTTATAATTAAATAAATAAAAATATTTATTTAAATATATTTTAAAAAACAAACACGAAATCAAAATTAGATGACTCGAATAAGAGCTTACAATTTTTTGAGGTGAAAACAAAACCTTACGTGTAATATAAAACATTCAAAAATAAACCAACCATCAGATACTTGAGTGTAGAGCAGTACAAAGTTAATTTCAGTGTGTATTGTAATTATTGACATCTGTTGTATGTACTACATTCTGCAAATAAATGAATTTGAATTTGAATTTGAATAGTTCAAAAAGAAGGCTAGCGTGGATACTCCTTATTTTGTTTAATAGTTTCCTTTTTTTTATTCTGAATTCAGGTTAGACATATTTACACATATTATAACAGGACTAATAACACATGATGTCATTTTTGTCAACGTAACTTTCATAGGTCGATATTGTGCCTACGGGAAGACACTGCTTTCATCACCGTCGTACTTCGATGTTTCATCACTCGACATCGAGGTACGACAGGTTGCCACTGTCGAACCTCGAGTGTCTATCTCAACTGTGTAACGAAAACAACCAATTTGACTCGTCCATTACCCACTCGGATGCTGTACATCGGTGATCAGACTGCTGATAAACATACTTATACATTTCTTAATACATACATATCACAGATAAATCACACAACAACCATTCATCCTGGGTGGGAATCGAACCCACGACCTCCGGCTTAGCAGTCCGACTCTATCTGCTAAACCAACGGGCTCATCAAATAGGTAAACTTCTCGTAGTGTAGTTAAGGTGCGATATGTGGAAAACTGTGTGATAAACTCGTTGTCCAGGGTTCGTTCACCTCTGCGCATAGGCGTTGCTTTTCGTGTATTAACAGTTCATTTTCTATTTTTATATCACTTATATCATGGTATACATCCCACAGGCAATTTTGTAAGTAGTAATTTGATTCTGCCAATCTTTCTGCGTTCTCTGTTGCTTCTTTCCTTTTCTTTTTGGCTAGCAGAATCTGTTTTTTTAGTAACTTGTTTTCTGTTTCGAGTGTATAGATGTTTTTGTTTTCTCCCATGGGATTCATGTCACGATGTTTTTCAATTTGATGTTAAGTTCTTTTAATTTAAAGGCTTCTAATTTGGCCTGGTGTAGTCTGGCCTGAAGAGCGTCGTTTTTTTCTTTTAGGTCTATAGCTCTTGACATTTCCTGATGCTGTTTATCGGTAGCGACTCGTAAGCGCTCACGGAGTATATTGTTCTCTGCACTGATTTTGTTCAAATTGTTATGTGAGGACTTTTTCTTATTAGCGCTGTACCAACTCTGCTGTTTCATATTAGTTTCATATAAAAATGTGTTTTTGATTGGTGCCTCACAAGTTCCACTTCAATTTATAAGATAATGAATGTTTCGCCAAAATATTTGTGTATAATGTATTTGACATCGGACCGAAAATAACAACAAATAATCACTGTGACGTGAGTGAAGTTGCAATATTATAAATTAACAAGGAGGTTCTTAATTCACCTAGATCCATACTTTTTTTTATAAATCTGTTACCCGATTACGTAGGATAGCTGGTCCTTATTATTATTATTTTTGTTTAAAAGGTTATAAGGTCCAGTTGATCTTTTAGTTATAAAGTCAGGATCTGATCATGGACTCCAGGAGAAAATGACGGCACTCTTGATAAATTTTAGATAAAGTTAAAACAATTTGGGTATTTTTATAAGTAACTTGTGTATACTGATAATGAAGACTACGTATGACCGAAACTCAGTAATGAGTATTATTCGATTATTTGAATATGATTGCTAAACAATTTATGCTTATCACAGTGTATATGGTGAGAGGCTCTATTCCAAACTTGGGGATTTCTCCCAAAACTAAATTAATAGTGATCTCAGCATAATTTTTCAAGAACTAAGATCCCGTATCGATAAAATAAATACTTAGTTAAAAGTTATTTATCAGTTTTCATTAGGATTTTGTGTGTGAAACCAATCAAATAATTTACCTTGAGAATAGTGGCGAAGACAATATTCATTTTAAGGGGAAAAAATTAAGAGATCAACAAAACACTACATTGCAAATTGACATAATTTTGGCACGTATCTTCACACTCACACAGTAACATTTCTTTTAAATAATATTAATGTAACAACAGCAAAGAAATGTTTTAGAAGGGCCTGGTGATCAGAGCTACAGGCTCACGCCTAATTCAGACACCTGTCCTCTGACAATTACGGTTTTTAATGTGATGTAAGTTTATATTGTAGTGATTGTGAGAAGAAATAAAAGAATTATTATTATATTGTTATTATTATTGACACATTTTAGCAACCAGATAGCACATTACTTGATAGGTCCTCATATTTAGTACTTATCTCCTGAACCGGACACATCTAATAAATATTAATAAAACAGTATCTAAATAGTAACCTGCATAAATTGTTTCATATCTCGTACTCCTGATGCCGTATTATTCTTCAGAAAGCTTACTAATACTAATGAAGCGAAATTGTAATATGTTTTGAATACGGATTTAATAGAAAGAGACCGCTGTCCTTTAATGAAGAAAGGAAAGAAGGGTACAGAATACGTTATTCTAATTTTACAAATATTCCCGATCTCCGATTATATAATAAAATCCCAAATGATATTCAAGACTAAAGTATTAAAAAATTTAAATCCGCAATTAAACGTAAATTATGTCAGAAAGCCTATTACTCAATTGTGTATTACATAGAAGACAAAAATGCTTAGGAATAATTTGGCGCAGGCCTTTTCTTACGTGGAAATGTGATGAGGGCTAGGGTGAATATTATTATATTTTTTTCTATTTTTATGTTTGACTTCACTTTCTTTTTTATTTGATCTTTTTTCCTAATCTTATTTTTCTTCTCTTTATTGTATTTTTAACCTTATAATCCTTAATAACGGACATTCTGGCCCACATCGGAACAATGTTGTGGTATATTTAATGATGCGATTGTATTTATCTGTAAATTGCAAAAGAGTGGCCATGAGTTTGTTTGCCCTTTCTTCTCATAAGGCTCCACCCCTTGGTTGTGGATCGGCACAGATATCATAGATTTTGAATATGCATAAGTTAAATATGTGATTATTTGGTGTGTCGTCAATAAACTTGCCCTATATCACCTAAGTGGGACTAAAGTTATAATTGACAAAATGTACCTAATCCCTTCGGGGATAAAGACATAAGTGTACGTATTATATAAGTGTACATCATCGTACATTGTTGTTTTCAACTTACCTTTGTGGAATGCGTAGTAAAGATGGGAAGATTTACATTAACGCTGTACAGTTTCCTGTTGTAAACAGGTGTACTAGCGATCCTAATCCATGCAAGTAGTAAGGATTGTTGTTATTCCATCCCGCCTCCAGTCGAAATCGACGTTCCACGCATGTCGCACGCGCGCACTACCGCTCTGTTATACGCGTACGCGCTCGTTGCGAACGCTGCTGCTGACGCTGCGCCTGCGCTGGCAGCACCGATCCGGTCCGACCATAGAGGTACAATATTGCTATTTTTTTAACGAGTATTTTGACATTTATTTTGGTCTTAGATTATTGTTTTTTCTTTCTTTAAGAAATGATTTTATTTTTTATTTTAACTACTTTTAATTTTTTATTCTTTATTGAGGAACGTGTAAAACGCTATGTTTATTTAGAATCATATTAAATATTTTAAAAAGAAGTAAATATTTATTTATTTACTTATTTATTGATAAACATCTCTAACTGAAAAAATACGTGTTCTAAAGTACCAAATTGTATAACCATATACCTAAAGGTTTTTAAAACTTCTGCTTCTATAATTAATCATAAAACATACAATCACTCTCAATACCATACAATTTCATAAAAGGTATCAAATGTGGGTATGGTAATATTTATTGTTTCATTTTATTATACTTAATATATGTATTTCCTGCGATGATCTTGCACAGGACTTAATGACAAGTGGCATTATCTACCAGCTAACCTTTGGGGGATTAATTGACGGGCATACCAGTTGCATAGGAAAATCGTAGGTGATTTTACTCTGTTACATTTTACATAAAATACTTGAAAAAATACATATAAGTACTTATTTGAAAATATAATTGATGAAATAAAATAAAATAGTAAAATCAATAAAGTCCAGTAACCAAACTTATATAAAAAAAAACCATTTATTTTTCAATTTTTATTTAGGTGCAAAGAGATTCCAGGTGGCTTTTTTACGGCTTTACCGCCGGCTGCCTATCTGGCGCCACTAGCCGCCGTAACTTGAAAATGTATTATCTTGTAGTCGGACATTTGAAAAATTTTCGCTTTTGTGTTCCATGATGTATAAGTATGTATATGTACGGGAATTAATACAATCACCCAATAAGTATTGGCGTTAACGGGAATTAACGCAAACAGATTTTATCTAGGTACCTAGGACACATTATAATAATACATGTATTTAGGTTAGACAAGAATTGTCATATAGTGATTTTGTGAATAAATCATAATAATTTGTAAATACATATAGATTGATTGTAAGGAAAGTAATATTGTATATAGGTAGGTTCATTTAGAATTTTATTGAGTATAGGTAAGCACATTTTTGTATAAATAAATATTTTAGTTTATTTTTCGCTTTTTAGTGTTTTCAAAGAACAATTTTTTGTTTAATGTTTTTTTGAAGTCGGTTTAAATTTTTTTTTAATTTGTTTATTTTTCCATTTTTAGTGTAAGTTATCGTAGAAAAATAGTAAATAGATCTTTTCATATAACTTAAAACATATTTATGTATAAGTATCACGATGTGTAGACCGACTAAAGACGATATTCGCGTGAAGGAAAATAGAAACAAAGAATCTGTTCAAAAAATAAGGAACGTCTATCCAAGAATAGCAAACGAAACGTTATATCTCGTTCCCAAGAAACATCATTGGCTCGAAATTTTAGATTGTCTCAGTTGAGAAGTTATATGCGTTCTAATTTGTCACAAGAGTCGAAAAGTGATAAAATCCGTCGACTCAATCGGATACATGAACGTTTGAGTGGTGAGTCCACTGAACAGTGCGAGCAACGTTTAGATGTTATTCGAAACCGGTTGACTAATGAGACTCTCAAACAACGTGAACATCGTTTAGATGTTATACGAAATAGATTAAACAATGAGACTCCCGAACAGCGTAAAGATCATTTAGATATTATACAAAATCGATTAAATAATGAGACTTCGGCAGAGCGTCAACATCGTTTCGATATTATACGAAATCGGTTAAATAACGAGACTCCGGAACAGTGTGAACATCGACTAAATGTTATTAATGGACGCAATAGAACTGAACTTTACCATCAACGTACTCAAAGACTGACTGCAATGAGAGAACGTAATATTAAAACATTGAGAGGTGAAAATGAGGAGCAGAGACAATATCGCTTGGAGAGCATGCGTGAGATATTACGCAGAAATCGATTTATTGGGGACGATAATTTTCTATCTGCCATAAACGTTTTTGCAGATGTGCCATGCAGTATCTGTAGAAAATTATTGTACCCCAATTAACGATGTAATTTGGAAACTTCATATCGAAAAGACTTACTACCTAACGAATTGGTATCAATAAGTAAAATCGTGACATGTTTTCGATGCTCTACCAATCTCAAAAAACGTAAAGTGCCTTCACAAGCGTATTGGAACATTAAGACTAATGTAAATAAAATATTTAAATTTGAACAATAAGACAAGCTCGTTGTATAGTGTATGTGGCTATTCTAACCCTCAATTTTACATGTGTTTTCCCACAGAAAACAGGTTTCTACATCAGCAACTTAAAGTATCAATCATCTAACTCCTGACGGTTGTGGATATTTTTTATTTAACTTCCATTATTCGCTCACCTGAATAATTTGAGAGAATATAATGAAAGGTCTATACGTGCATATGATATTTAAAGAATCTTCCTGTAACTCCTAACCGTTAAGGAGTTGTACCTTCCATCATCAGCTCACCTGAATAACTTGAAAGAATACAACTAAGGGTCTATAAGTGCATATGATATTTAAAGAATCTTCCTGTAACTCCTAACCGTTAAGGAGTTGTACCTTCCATCACCAGCTCATCAACACGAGATGATGACTACCAGACGCAAATACTAGAATAGCTTCAAAAAGTATATGAAACACATAATACATGCCTATAAAATTTGATGGTCGCCCTCGATTTTCCAGGGACCACCTTAGGATTATGCTCTTTCTAACAAAAAAAAATATTTGAAAATCGGTTCACAATTGACGAAGTAATCGATAAAAAATACACAGTGGAACATAGAACCTCCTCCTTTCTTTAAGTCGGTTAAAAATGGACAATAGACATATAATTATATTAACACCTAAGTAAAAGTTACAAGATATATGTGTACAAGTTGTTACTTTAATAAAGATAAGGACGTAATTCAAGAGGCAATTTATCATCAATGTATTTATCACAACAATATAAAAATGTGCGATTTCCCCTGAACTGGAAGTTTTTAAAAAACATTTTTAATCTAAAAACGGGGATGTTCATTGCTAATAAAAGTAGTAAAGTTTTCTACCGCAGTAAAAGAGACACTCTTAAATATCAGAGCGAAATGTCAGGTAAAAAAATGTGTACGAGCGAGAAAGAGTGTCGAACTTTTTGTCGTTACCAAGCCCAATTTTTAAAGGTATGGGGGGGGGGGGCACAAACGTGCAGACTGGCCACCTGATGGTAAGTAACTACCGCCACCCATGGGCTCCTGCAACTTTACCAAGTTACAACTGGGTTGCTGTTTTTTCAGCCTTTCCGTCCAGAATCAAGGGAAGGGAGAGGGTTTGGGCTCCGGTCACCTCCCTCACTCGATGAAAAGCAACGAAAGAACTGATTCACACCGTTTTTTTGTGAGGCCGTGGTATCACTCCGGTCGAGCCTGGCCATGTTAAAAGGAACCATTGATAAAACCGATAGTTTGAAAAAGGGTCGTGAAAAATAGTATCAGCAGCATCACTGATGCTAACTCCTCAGGAACTTACAGCAAAAGTTTTGGGCTTACTTCTTCTGCAGGTCCTAATTAATAGGTTATAGATAAGTGATGATCCAGGCGTCACTCAAATACACTGATAACAGTGGTAACTTTAGTTTAGTATATCATCATCGTCATAAAGGACAAGAGTGATATAGGGTTGTTTGCTGATAATACTTCTTTAGTTTTTAAAATTACGATCTCCTAATTAAAAAACGATAAACAGTGCTATATCATCAATCAGAATAAACTTAGCAGCTATGTCTCGGTGGCAATACCAAACGTTGGTGTAGGTTATGGCCGCTTATTATATTCAATGAACCGTTTTCTCTTGTCCAGTAAATCAATCCAATGGGGGCAGGGAATGAGGTCATTCGAAAGAGGTGCAATTTTATCTTTATTTGTACATTTGTCTCAATAAGTAAAGTAACTGGTCTGCACGGTTATGTTGAACTTGAAAATCAGATAACTGCTAGTCTGACTCGGTCATTTGGGGTTTCGTATAAATTTGTATGAAGAAAGATATATTTCAACTATCTCGGCAATTTATTCCAGAATATATTTGCCTGTTTTTTCTTATTGATAAATTTAATGTCATCATCATCAACAGCCTTTAATAGTCCACTGCTGGACATAAGCCTCTCCTTAGAAAGGAGGTTTTGGCCTACTATACCACGCTGGCCAGACGGGTTGGTATAGGGTTTGTGTCAAGTTTTCCTTCTCTCTGCAGTGCTGTTGTTCTGCGTAGTTTTTTCCTTTAGTCGGCTCTTACGACACCCATGGGATGAATAGGGGGGTGACACTCTGTATTCTTAATCCGTCACCACACGGATATTTAATGTTGCCCTTTTAAAAATACTATCCTATACAACCACATCCATAAAAGTCAATTATTTATGTGCAAAATGTAAATTTGTAATTACCACAAAAAATACCTTCATACATGTGTTGTGAGACCTTGCTTAAAAAGTGTTGACCAACAGACAAACGGACAATTATATGATTCTGTAAGTATTTTTCTTTTGTGGAATAGAAACATAAGAATGAAAACTTCTTTTTTAATTTAACGTTAACATTACTAAGGTAAAATAAACTATTGAGGTAACATTTGAGAAAGTATGGGAAAAGAAATGTGCAGATCGTGCTTGTAGCTACATGAGAAGTGCAAAGTGTTTAGTAAAAAGAAATGTTGCAAAATTACGAATTGACGTCTATATATATAAAAAGCTTTTGGTTATATACTTTCTGATTTGGCAGCCTGTGTAATTTAATTTTATTTTATTTGGGGGTTATTTAGATAAACATCCCGCATTAAGTATTGGCAAGAATGTAAGCTTCTATAAAAGATTTTTTTGTAGGTACTTCTACAGAAATAAGTTAATAAGACTTGGTAAATAAATAAGAAAACATGCTGAGTAATTTAGTGTTTTAGCATTAAGTTATATTGAGTTGTTCGACAAAATAACGTCTTCTATGTGCACGGGTACA